GTAGCACGGCCGCCGTTTTGGAGTGCGTCTTTATAGGGCATTTCAGAATGTTTGTAAACAATAGGCACCGCGATACTTCCGGGTGGCAGAACGCGAGCGGCTTCCATTGACTAACTGAAGAGATCCAGCCGGCAACTGAACAGTTACACAGTTAAAATCATTGTTGTTGATCAAAGTTGAATCTATGGCGAAAATATGTTGTGTATGGGGTTGCGCCACCAGATATACAGCAAAAGGTGTAGGTTTTTTTATCGATTTCCTTCAGAAAAAAGTAAAAAATCAAAAAAGTCAAAAGTGCATATCGTCTTCTAATTATGAGCCTGAGCCCGATTTAAACCCAACCATTTTAATACGTGGGTCGTTATATAACTGACGTTCTCAACTAACGTAGTTATTTCTATTACTTTCTATGTTACTTTCTTTTGAGCGGTGAGTAAATGCTTCTTCATCGTAAATGCTTCTGATTGGCCAATGCGTTCAATAAATCAACACATATGTCTGTGATTGGCTACATCGCTCATCGCTGCAGTCACGTTATAAAAAGAAACTCTGCCATGTAAGTCATTTATATTTTGTTTTAGTTGTTCTTGTTGCTTTTCTGCAACAGATGAATACAAATGTATTAGTTTTTATTTGTTTTATTCATAGATATTTCTAGTTTGCGGGAGTCCCGCGAATCGTTTTATTCTCCTGCAATCCGCACACACAGAGTACATTACCGCCCGCACTCGGCCATCAGATCTAGTCCCGCGCCGCGGTCTCTAGTGCGTTGGGAGTGCACGTCTCTAGATCAAAGAATCTAAGCTTTAATGATCATGTTAACTATGTCCGAATTTCCACCACGTCTGTTCTTGAATCAACTGTTGAAATGTAGATTAGGCTTCTGCCGGCGGTGTGTCTCCCTCCATGCAATTTACTAGTGTTGCCATAGGGACGCTTCGGCTTTTGCCACCCGGAAGAACGTCTATTATTGTTGTGACGTCATGGTGAATTGTCGTATAGAGTGCCGAAGTTACGACGTCACTCTGTAGGCCAAAACGCGGAAGTGTGTTAGCATTTTAGCACTACCGGTTCCCTCGCTCTACAGCCTATGGTATTTTTGAATGGGTTTTTGCTAAATCGCCTGAAATAAGGTCTCTGGTGAACAAAGCCTACAAAGAAACATTTTCACGTTTTGATCTATGACAGAACACACAGTTACAGTGTAACCTGCTTGTGGTTTTTTAAACTTTATTGTGTCTAATTGTGTTTTTTAAAATCTTTATATAGGCTTCAAAATGTATAAATTTTGGATTAACTTGTAAAGATTATCTTGCTAGACAAAACGTGTAAGGGTCACTACTCTTTGTTAAACACAGATCTTACGTTTTGCGATTTTCCAAAAGTCTATGGGGAAAATGCATTGCTTTTAGACCGAGGGAACCCATGCGCCGCTAGCTTCCGAGTTGTCCTACAAAGTGACGTCATAACTAACGCACTCACTAGCTTGCATGTGTATTGTTGTGTAATTTATATGCTAAAGTGAGTTTTTACTGTTTGGGTTGAATTAGTGGTGTGGGGTGCGTGCGTATTACACACAAATGAACTGCATATCAAATGCACGCGGAAAACCGCATATGCACGTGAAATCTCATTTTCATGTTTAAATTACACGACAATACACGATGCGTGTTATAGAGAGGCATTTACGTGAGAACAGGCTGGGAAAACAGCGTGACTAAGCTACATGTAATGTCCTTCCGATACTGTATGTATACTTGTTTTCGCATGTCCGGTTGCAGTGTCTTTTTTTCTAAAGCAACTCCAAAGTCCGAACAAAGTCTTTTGCATTTTACAGCGGTTGAATCTCTAGTTGTCAGTGGTGATTGTTTTTCGAACCTTTCTGGATCTGCCATCAAATTAATAAGTTTAATTATATCAAGTGGTCTGAGAAAAGGCTATCTCCACTTCCAACATCCTCACACGCAATATGTTCTTCTTTATGTGTACACATGTGACATAATGATTCAGGTTGGATTTTAGCCTACTTTTTTATTGATTGATTTGTTTATTTTTAACATAACATTATCTATTTTAAATAGCGTTGCGCTGCTGCTGGGCACTGGTGTTGCAATGGAACGTTCTATTGGTTTTCACGTCTTGTCAATATAAGTTATTTGACAGAATATATAAAATGTTTAAAACAAGTTATGATGGTGTTATTTGATTTGTGCAAGTACATTTGTACCTTTTACTAGACATTTTAGTAAATCTTTGCTAGTGATGATTTAGTAATGATTTACTTACTCTGGGTTGAATGCAAGTGGAGAGAATTGTCACATGTAGTTCTGTTTTGTTTCTCTTTTGCTTGTTTGATTCTATGGTTATTTATTGAAAATGTTCCTAAATTACATAAATCATCCACTGTCTATTTAAGCCCTGCATGTGTTTTCTCGGTTTCTTTGTCTATTTGTATAAAATTGGTTTTAACTTCTGACTCCTGAGTGTTCTGTTTAGAGTTATTTAAGACTCTGGTTTCAATTCCTTCATCATGCACATTATACACAAGACTAACCCTTACAAAATGAAGACATAATGATAGCTTTTATTTCTATTTTTTATTGTTTAAACCAAATTTGCTAATATAGCAGAGTACCTGAAACACACAGTTGTGGATGGACCAAACAAAGAACCCTCATAAATAATGATAATGATAATAATTAATATTACTGTTCCATAATATGGCTCCACTTCATATCAGATGTATTTAATGGGGACTTATAATGCAATTTTTCAAAGTCTTGATTCTGTTTTAAGGGTCTACTAGAATAGGTTTTCATGCTTACATTAAAACGTTAATTTTCACATATTTTACTTGCATCTCTTTTCCCAGTCTGTCATTAATGCTCAGTTTTGTTACGGTCTCTATGAAAGCCCTTCCTTCCGAAAAGAGACATGTCCTCTGAGTTTCAACTGGACAAGTGTGTTTTGATTGGACCACAACTTCAAGCATGTTTCAGAAATGTCACGGCCCTTACCATAACCAATAGTTTCATCACGCAACTAAAGTAACTCATACAGGCCTCGCCCCTTTGGTGTATGCCTTGGTGAATAAATATGGAATACTGTGACATATACGTAGCTGTACGTCCCTGGATGAAAACCCAAAACTACATTTGTAGACAAATCATTCGTAGACACATCATACAAATCATTTGATACAATTGCATTTTAGAATTAAATACTATATGCAAATACAAAGTTGTTAAAGACACCATATAAAGAAGTTCATACAATGTCAGTGGGCAACACATTAGCACCTAATTTTGACCCAAAAGTTCATTCAGTGCAGTGAGCTTGTGACACTCTCAAAACGGCATCTATCTTTGTTGTGATCTTAAGATAATATAATCTTAATTGTCAAATAGGACAAAAGGAAATATTCTTTCCTCAGGGATTTGGAACTAGAAACATCTAGCCTATAAAATAATTTATTATTAGAATTGCAGATATAACATTAAACCCAATTATAGCTGCAGGTGCTGTTGAAATTATAGAGAAATTGATTTCAATCTGGCGGACCGTTCTCCACAGGGTGTATTTTGCAGCTCTTTAGTTTGTCTCTGTAAATACATATGTGTAGGGGAACTATTATGTGACCATTTGACCATTGTTAGAAAAAGGTGCTTATTTCTCTAAAACCCCTGTGGCTTTATTACACTGAGATTTGAGAACCTTGTGAATTTTTGTGACCTTTGAGAATTATTATTATTATTATTAACCTAAAATATGGCTGAAAAGCAAATGAGTTGTCAGTTACGGCTGAAAAAGATTTGGAGGGTCGAAATCATTGACTGAAACAGTAGAACTTAATTAGTGATTCTCCGATGGCATGTTTTGACTGCAGTGTCTTTTTCTGCACAAAAAAAGTGAATAAGTGACAAAAGCAAAACATGTCAGATGTGAATACTACAGCTGGGTTGACAATATTGATTTTTCCTCTTTAATAGATCTTCGGTTTGATGAACTGAGACGTTCTTCTCACCATTCAGTAATATCCCTATGATTTGTGTTTTGTTACTTTTGATATGAAACAAAGCCTGATCTATAAACATCTGTCAATTTTATAATGAAATTCAAACAATAAATGTTGTTTTGATCCTTGAACGGATCTCTTTCTCTTCTTTATTAGTTATTGCACAAAATAAATATGAATGAACATCAGAAGGTACAGTATGTTGAAAGAAACATTACTGAAATCATCAAGTCCCATGTATTTGCTCAGTTTAACTGTAGAAAAGACGTCAATAAAACAATGTTACATACAGTAACGTTATATTTACATCAGGAAAGCAGTTTAATTTCCAAAGCTCGCTAGAAAAAATAACTCTAGAGAGGAGCATATATGCTTAATGTATACACTATATTACATGTTCATTATATTTTTACTTAAACTGTTGCCTTCATTATTTGATGTATGTTTGATTAATTCTGTCATGAAAACAAGTTAAAACATTGAAGTGTGCAGCATAAAAGGTATATACAGTAATCAACTCAGTTTTTGTTTCTTGTGTTGATTATTAAATAAATGTGATTAAATAATTTATTATTTAAAAGAATAGTTCCCTTCAAAATGAAAATTCTGTCATTATTTACTCACCCTCAAGTTGTTTCAAACCAGTATGATTTTTTTCTTCTTCTACTAAACACAAAGATATAACCCCATTGACTTTCATAGTAGGAAATCAAAAAAAATAAAAAATAAATACTTTGGAAGTCAATGGGGTACATCAACTGTTTAGTTACCGATATTCTTCAAATTATCTGCTTTTGTGTTCAGCAGTAGAACAACTTGAGGGTGAGTAAATGATCACGGAATTTTAATTTTGAAGTGAACTAATCATAATCATTCAACTAATGTTCTGCTAATTGAAAACTTTAATTTCAGTGTTTCTTTTAAAAAAATGAAATTTGATGGATCAAAAATAGTGTTATATATGTTTTGGTTGTTTTGATTCCAGGTGTCCAATCTGTACCTTTATGACAGTGTGTTGATGTTGGCCAACGCATTCTATCGGAAATTAGAAGACCGGAAGTGGCACAGCATGGCCAGCCTCAACTGCATCAGAAAGTCAACCAAGCCCTGGAATGGAGGCTGGTCCATGCTGGAGACGATCCAAAAGGTTTGATATGTTTGATGTCAAGATTTTTTTTTTTTTTTTTAGAAACTCTGTTTTGCTGTTTGTCACACTGTTGGGGGTCTATCACATCTAGCCTGCCCGTATAACAGTGGCAAGATAGTGAGTATTTGAATTGAAGCAACTGTGACAAGATGATAGTTTCCATTGCTTTACTTCAAGTCCCAGGCGTGTGGCTTTTTGAAATGCAAATTGCTTTCATCTAGGTTGTTTCCTGACTTACCCTCTCACTACTGCACTCCTCACACAGAACTATTTGAATGCTGCACAATAGCTGGTATGGTGGCCGCAGCAGTTGATTTCTCATCTTACGAGCTCGTGTCTCTGTGAGCTCTCAGGGGCAGCAAGCGGTCTAGTGTGTGTTCCTCATTTCACGCCTTTTTAACTTTATATGATCCACAAAGAACTGCAAGAAACCTCTAATCGGCCATGGATAGACACACCATGGATAGATTTGTCTCTGAAACTTCCTGTAGGCCTTTCATAGTGATGCTTTTCAAGCAGTGAGCGACCCACAACACTCTTAAACAGGTGGCCCAGTTAGACCAGTAAAGAAAACAGTAAGAAATCTTTTCAAGCTGTACAATGTAAAACAGTAAAATGAACTGATTCAAATTGGGAAAGGAGCGGTAATGCACACTGAGCCAAACCTTTCTTCCATTGGCTCCAGACCACGATACCATTCATATTGTAAAGCCCAAGAAAGATTAAGGGTACAGCACATTGCGCTTTGATCTCGATCAGTTCTTTTTACTGTGTCACTTTATTTTTTATTGATTCAGACTGTCTTGGTCCCACAGGGCCATATAACTGGTCTTACTGGAATTATGGACTTCATGGACAATGGATCAAATTCCCACGTTCAGTTTGAGATTTTGGGAACCAGCTTCAGCGAGACGTTTGGAAAAGACATAAAGCGCGTGAGTTAAATTGGACTTTCATTTCTAGTACCTGGTGTAAAAGCTCTTCTGATTTGTGATTATTTTTTTCATTACCAGTAACCTTAGGTAAAGTGAAACCTGAAATCAATTTCCTTGAAATTTGTCTAAACATGGAGAACGCATAATCTGCTTTTCAGAAATACTGGCTATTGAGAACAAATCGACTTCATGTAATCTGTGCAGATTGTGTATCCAGGCTGCCACTTTGACTCCTGTAGATTTAAAAAAAAAAAATATTTCCCCTTGTTGTTGATTAATTTCATGAAAAGAGACACCAGTGATTTTGCCAAGAGATCTCTCAAATTTATTTATAATTTTTAGAAGACATAGGAGGAAGAGACAAACAGAGGTCTTCATTCTGCATCGTTGCCATCTCTTCCTGCTTTCCGGACAAAGGGGCTCAGTCTTTATACTACTGACCATGAAAGAAACTATATCGCCATAGTAATGTCTCGGTTGCGTATGTAACCCTCGTTCCCTGAGTAGAGAATGGAGACGTTACGTCAGATGACGGAGAATGGGGGTTTTGCCTAGAAAGCCAATCCTCTTCGAGTATTAAAAAACGAGCCAATGGCAAGGAAATGCCATGGGTTTGCGGAATTTGCATAGCGAATCCCCGCCTCACCTCGTGAGTATAAAAGGAGGAAGTAGACGCAACCACAGTATGTCTTCTCTGAGGAGCTGAGACTGAACTCAGGCGTCTACCCAGCGGTACAGGGGAAGTGGCAGGGAGACGTAACGTCTCTGTTCCCTACTCAGGGAACGAGGGTTACATACGTAACCGAGGCGTTCCCTTTCGGAGTCACTCCGAGTTATGTCGGATGACGGAGAATGGGGGTCCCCTGTGTAATCACACCACCTTAGCAGCTGTCTTCCAGTGCCCTGCGAAAGTCTGATCCCCTGTCGTGAAACTAGCACGGACGAGGAGAACTACTTAGCACAGGAATACCAAGGTACACTGGGGGGCATATCTCAGAGGAAATATGCCGCAGTACGCCTACGCATAGGGAGGACTTAAGAATACACATATGGCCCAAGCTGGTAAGCCAAAGCTATGGTGTCCACTATCCAGTGAGACAACCTCTGCTTTGAGAGAGCCCTTCCCTTCTGGCTCCCACCATAACAGACAAAGAGCTGGTCTGAGGTCCTGAAACACCGCGTTCTGTCTACGTAAGCCCGGAGGGCATGTACTGGACAGAGCAGTGCCAAGGCTGGGTCTGCCTCCTCCAGGGGCAGCGCTTGCAGGTTCACCACCTGATCCCGGAAAGGAGTGGTAGGAACCTTGGGCACATATCCAGGCCTGGGCCTCAGGATCACGTGAGAGTAGGCCGGCCCGGACTCCAGGCACGCTTTGTCAACAGAGAATGCGTGCAGGTCCCCTACCCTCTTGATGGAGGCTAGTGCAACCAGGAGCGCTGTCTTCATCGACAGGAACTTAATCTCGACTGATTGCAGAGGCTCGAAGGGAGGCCTCTGCAGGGCACTTAAAACCACTGAGAGGTCCCAAGAGGGTACGAGAAGAGGGCGAGGAGGATTCAGTCTCCTCGCTCCCCTCAGGAACCTGATGATCAGGTCGTGCTTCCCCAAGGACTTACCATAAACTGCTTCATGATATGCGGCAATGGCAGACAAATAGACCTTTAGGGTGGAGGGAGACAGCCTTCGCTCCAACTCCTCTTGCAGGAAGGAAAGCACGACACTGATCGAGCATCTCCGGGGGTCTTCTCGGCGAGAAGAGCACCAGTTGATGAAGAGGTTCCACTTCAACGCATAGACGTGTCTAGTGGACGACGCTCTAGCGGAAGTGATGGTAGCCGCCACCGTAGGTGGCAGGGTACTCAAACCTGCCTCGTCCCGTCCAGGAGCCACACGTGTAGCCTCCAAAGATCGGAATGAGGGTGCCACAGGGTTCCCCGTCTCTGAGAAAGGAGGTCCTGTCTCAGAGGAATTGGCCAAGGCGGTGCTGTCGCGAGGAGTATCAGTACGGAGAACCAGGTCTTGGTAGCCCGTTATAGAGCGACCAACAAGACCTGCTCCTCGTCCTCCTTGATCTTGCACAGAGTATGTGCATGTCCATTGCACATGGCTCCCCAACCCGTGGCAGAGGCATCAGTGGAGAAAACAACATGCAAACTCGCTGCAGAGAGACTCCGGATCGTAAAAAAAAGCTGAGGTTCGTCCACGGGAACAAGGTCTGACGGCAGGTCGGAGTTACTGGAACTCTGAGCATACCATGATGCCATGCCGACCTCAGGACTCGATCGCGAAACCACAGCTGAAGCGGTCTCATGAAGCAATCCGAGTGGCGAAGCCGCGGCCGCAGATGCCAAATGCCCCAGGAGCCTCTGAATAAGTTTCAGTGGGACCGCACTCTTGCCCTCGAACTGTCAAAGACAAGTCAGCAGTGAGTGTGCTCGCTCACTCGTGAGCTGCGCAGACATGGCGACCGAGTCTATCTCCATACCGAGAAAAGAGATCCTCTGCACGGGGCAAAGTTTGCTCTACTTCCAGTTGACCCGAAGGCCCAGATGGGTTAGGTGCCAGAGCACAAGGTCTCTGTGTTCGCAGACCTGTGCTAGGATCAGCCAATTGTCGAGATAATTCAGGACGTGAACCCCGTGTTCATGGAGGGGAACGAGCTGCCTCGACGATCTTCGTAAAGATGCGAGGGGACAGAGCCAACCCGAATGGGAGAACCGTGTACTGATATGCCTGTCCCTCGAAAGCAAGGAGCAAGGTGTCAAGGTAAGATGGAGACATGAAAGTACGCGTCCTTCAGGTCTATCACTGCAAACCAATCCCGGGGCCGAACGCACTCGAAAATTGGGGCATTGCCACTGACCACCATAAAGCGAACTCTCCGGAAACGGTCGTTCGGCAGACCCAATGGGACAGATTGGGGAGCTCCCAAAAACTGATCCAGTGGAATCATCCGAGCCACAGACTTCCCCCGGAGGGGCAACGGGGCGGAGATCCCGGCAGACGTGGAGGTGTTACCCCCCGCGGGTGCACAATCTATCTCCGCTCCCCGACAGAGGAGACCAGGGAAGGACCAGCGTTCCACGGGGGTCTGCTCTGCCGGGGGTTTGGCGATAGAGTGGGATGGGAGTGGCGTGGTCCGGGGACGACCGAGGATTTTTTGTCGGTTTAGTTCCAGACCTGACGTCTTAGATCACCCTGGCCACCAGTCGAAGTATTGTCTCACGTGGAGAAAATAGTTTGGGTTGTGGATAAGGGGACTCAATAGAGTGAGCTCATTGAGTTTTGGCTGTTATACATTGCGATGGCCACGTTCCCACTGAGAGAACGTGACACACCCACGAGCGCTGTCTGAGCATGATCAAAGCCCAAACACGTCAATCAGCGCTCGCGCCCATCAGCTGAATCAGAATACCGCACTCAGAAATACACGGGCAGATCGTCTTTAAAAAGTCGTGCCGCGTGCACACTCTTTTAGTGAGAGGAGAAAACTCTGCGGATGCTGAAGCGACCAGGGAGAGACACACACACTGGCAGACCACTGCTCGCTGGATACCGCCGTCACACCAACACCAGAGAGTTTGCTTGTCTCGAAGAGGTGAGTCACAGTAGTAAACTCAGATTGTGTGGCTTGTGGAGTGAAGAAGTTCTCTTGGCTCCCGAAGCGAAAACATACTGCGGTTGCGTCCGCTTCCTCCTTTTATACTCACGAGGTGAGGCGGGGATACGCTATGCAAATTCCGCAGACCCATGGCATTTCCTTGCCATTAGCTCGTTTTTTAATACTCGAAGAGGATTGGCTTTTTAGGCGAAACCTCCATTCTCCGTCATCCGATGTAACTCGGAGTGACTACGAAAGGGAACACATACATTACCACAAAAGGGTTCCCATTAACATTGGAATGTATATCCAATCCCGGTGGAAACTATACACTGCATTTCAGTCTCACTCCAACATACATTCTCTCATACAGTCTAACTTATCACAAAGTCTCCTAAAGTCTCTCCCTCTCTCCCACATCTTCAAAACATAATTCACAAAATGCAATGATTGCAAATGATTATGTATACAAAAAGTAATAAAACAGATACATAATACTTCTGATTATGAATATTAATAAAAAAGTAATAATAGTACTAAAAACAACATTAAATTATGAGATTGTAAGTCTTCACTCCTCACCTAAATTAACATATTTAAATTTTTCTGAGCAAGCTCTCAACTGGATAAAATCATACTTGTCCTACAGAAAGCAATGTGTTCGCATTAATAATGTAACGTCTCCTTTATGTGAATGTCCTGTAGGGGTCCCTCAAGGCTCCATACTTGGTCTGATTTTATTCACACTTTATATAAATGACCTGGCAGAAGTATGTAAAAACGTTGATGTCCAGTTGTATGCAGATGATGCCGTTATATTTACACATGGTAAGAACTATCTGGACATAGCATCCCAACTCACTTCGGTAATGGCTCATATTGATGATTGGCTTAATAAGTCATGCCTCCATCTAAACACTAAAAAAACGTTCTGTATGGCATTCACCAAACAAAGTATGAAGGTGTCACATTCTAATGTATTCTTCAGAGGACAGGAGCTTGACATTGTTAATGAATTCAAGTATTTAGGAGTCACATTTGACTCCACCTTAACCTTTAAATGTCATGTGAAAAAGTTGGCAAATAAAGTTAAATTCAATTTGCGGAATTTTAAACAAGTCAGGCCATTTCTTAATACCAAAACTGCTAAGTTGTTTTTATATGCTATGATTTTTTTTTCTCATATTGAGTATTGTTTTATCAATTGGTCATATAGTATATCTTCTCCTAAAAATATTGAATCTCTTTTTAAGAAAGCCTTAAAATATTTTGATAAAAAAAACATTTCACCATTGCAATATTCTAGCGAGACTTGATTTTCTAAGTTTCGACAATCTAAAATATTTCAAGTATGTCTGTCTGGTATATAAAAGTGTTAAACAATCTTGCCCCACCTCCG